CTCCATTTTCGCCAATTTTCTTACTGATAGGTTGGGAATAGTGCGCTATTTGTGCACGATCTGTTTGCGCTTTTCCGGGGAAATGCCTCGCATTTTGATGATTTTGTAAAAAAAAAATCACTTTGCGAACACAAACTTGTCGAGCAATAAGTAAACAACAACACACTTTGATGTACAGCTGGTAAACTTCATCGAGGTAGAAATGGCGGCGAGTTGAAAGTGTGCTTATACTTCTGGGACGCCCTATAAAATCCCAAACTCTCATAAATCATCAACTAACATGATATTCTTGGCTTTTATTTTTAGATGAATTAAATGAAATAATTTATCCAAATTTGAGATGATGATAAAAGACAAATTTGCACAAATAGTACTCAAATATTGATCTACTCTGTAATTTACTCACTGTATCACTGACGACGGCTCACATACTTAGGTTTTGACTCATGTTAGACTTTGTTTATCTCAGACTATCATTGATACTAATCATTTTATGATTGCAAATGTTAGATTTAACTCATCTTTGCGTGTTTAATGTGAATTTTGAATCTTTCAAAGAAAATGAAGTTCCAACAAGTGAGTAAAAAATAAAAGAATGGGCAATTAATGGCCAATACTGTGTATGCGATTTTAGTGTGGTACCACTGTCATGTTTTGTGATGTAGAGTAGAGTTTTAGTTCGCTTTTTTGTTACTTGATTTGTTTTCCGTTGATCTTATTTTCCGTTCTGAGTACTAATGCTACCGAAGCCATGCTCCCACACCTGGACCCTATCTAGCAACCCATCACAACTCATCGACCAGGGACCAACGGTTTTACTTTCCTTGTGATCAGAGATTTTATGCTCCAGAAAATCTGCAGCTAAAAAAGGGCTTGTTCAGCTTTTAATCAGCTGCTAAATGTTTGTTGGGTGTTCCTTGGGTGAAGAATATATGAAAAAAGATCGAAATGACACCGACCATAAAGGGCGAACACGAAATTATTGCGACACCGAAAATGTCATGCCAATTTTCTTATAATGTTTAGAATCAAACCAAAATTTTAGGGTAGTTTTATACATATATTTACTTCAAAAATCAAAAGAAAAGTTAATCGATGGAGCCTTGAGTGTAAAATTGAACGCATTTTCGCTTGATGCCCTCCATCAAAGTCTTTACAGTGTCATCCGGTACCAGTTTCTCAGTTTTTTTTTCCATTTTCTTAACATGTCCTTCTCGTCTTTGACTGTCTTCTTGCTCTTCCGAAGTTCCCGCTTCATTATTGCCCAGTACTGCTCCACCGGGCGCAGCTCCGGACAGTTTGGCGGATTCATGTCCTTTGGAACAAAATGGACAGAATTGGCCTCATACCACTCCAGGACACTTTTAGAATAGTGGCATGATGCCAAATCTGGCCAAAATAGCGGAGCTTCGTCGTGCTGCTGCAAGAACGGCAAAAAGCGCTTCTCGAGGCACTCAGATTTGTAGATCTCGCCATTTACTGTGCCCTTTGTCACGAAAGGCTCACTCCTCAGTCCGCAAGAGCAGATGGCCTGCCAAATGAGATATTTGGAAGCGAACTTCGACATTTTCTTCTTCTTAAATTTGTCGTCCACATCGAACTTGCTCTTGCCGGTGAAAAACTCCAACCCCGGAATTTGCTTAAAATCGGCTTTTATATACGTTTCGTCGTCCATCACACAGCAGCCATATTTTGTCAGCATCTTCTCGTAGAGCTTCCGTGCCCGAGTTTTAGCCGTCGATTGTTGCCGCTCATCGCGGTTTGGGAAGTTCTGTACCTTGTATGTATGTAGCCCAGCTCTCTTCTTTGCATTCTGGACGTAGCTCTGCGACATGCCGATCTTTTTAGCCAAATCACGGCTTAAGACGTTGGGATTTGCTTTAATCATCCGCTTCACCTTTCCCTCCGTCTTTTTGTTCTCCGGTCCCGGTTTTCTTCCAGCTCCTTTGCCGTGGTCCAACGTCAACCGCTCCTGGAACCGCTTCAACACTCTGGAGTTGAATGGTGAATGTTCAACAGTTTTCCCAACTGCCGGTGCGACAGGTCAGGAAATTCCAGGTGTTTGGAAAGAATTTGTTCTCTCAACTCGCGTTGGTTCACCTCCATTTTTGTTGAATCGAAAAACACGACTTCGAGTTTGACAGCATGTACACAATACACATCAATGAGAAAGTGTGCAAAATTTGGTTGATTTTTACCCAATGGTAAAAAAGTTATGCCCTGTTGAATGTGTCGCAATAATTTCGTGTTCGCCCTTTATTTATATGTAACCACTGAAAATATAAGATTCTAATATCCTATCTAAGATTTTTTGAAATCGGGCTTTGCCGCTGCCGCTACCATTTCAAATAAACAAAACTAGCACTTGTATTCAAATCGATATTTGTTTATTTTTTTGACATGAAACCAGCGCCTTTTAGCAAACTACGTAAGTGACGCCTACACAGCAAAATTTTTATTTTGATATCACATCAAAGTGGATGCACTTCAATCGTGTCAAAAATATGTAGTAATATAATATATATTTTTGCCAAAAAGGAAAAAATATCATTAACACAGTGCATGAACTGACATTACGCTGCTTTTACTGCATTTGTTTATTTTTGTGGCCATAAAAATTACATGACATTTTCGACATGATCCAGTGCATCCTCTTGGATGTAATATTAAAATTAATTTGTTGATGTGTATTTATCAATTTAAAAAATCATTTTTTTTATTCTCAATATTTATTCACTACTATTAATCTTTCCCAGTAACGCCTGGTAGATCACCTTTTCGTGGTGCGTTACTGGTTTTAAGATCAACCCCCGAAACCTAGCCCGAACAACTTGAAACTGGGGGAACAGGATTGTTTTTGTAATCAAAGGAACACATTTTAGTCCTTTTTACTTTTTATGCATTGTTGATAGTGACAAGACACGGCTTTGTCCACCGAGGATGATCTTGAAACAAGGAAAAAATGAGTTAGGTAGTTATTTTTCAACTACGTGATTCCTAATCTTTTATTCGCTGTTCTCTAGCTTGAAGTGGTTAAGACTAGGATTGATTTTGTTGCGAAGGAATCCGTTTTTGACTGACTGAGGGGTGCGTCTTTGGTCCGATACTCCGAAGGGTATAAAGAGCGGGACCTTACAATTAGAGTCGGATCCTTGCGATAAAGGTAAGAATGACAGCTGTATCAAAACCGAATACTTCACCATTTCTCAATAGTGACGGAATAATACGGCATGCACTAAACTAAGGACACGGAGTATACCACAATAGATCAAATAACTGGTCGCAGTGGATTTATATCCCGAACAGAGGAAAAAAGATCTTTCCTAAAACATTTCAATAACATTCCTTTAGAACTGCTTAGAAAACCGCAAAAAAAAAACATTCTAAATTCAGATTATAATTTCCTTAGAATCCATTCCGGATTAGCTCGGGATTGTGGTGAGAATTCCATTGGAATTAATATTAAATGTTCATAGGATACTACCTCAGGGTTTCCTTTGAATTCTCGAGAATGAGAGGATTCTCAGAGTTCCTTTATTTTTTTTTTTTTAGATAAAGTCTTTTGTAAATCTCCAGTGATTGTAACAGCATACCTACTTGGGTATATTGGCAACCACTTATAGTGAATGTTGTCACATGATTCAGGGTAAAGACCAAGCTTGCTTCCACTACACTGCTTTAAAAAATTGTTTTTCGATATTATGAAATCATTAGATGTAATAATGATAATTAGTGCTTATAAGTTACATAAAACACATCATACCTGTCAATATTGCTTTCATAGCATTCTTCTTCTTCTTAGTATGTCAAGCTTATTGCTTATCGCATATTATCTTATTGCGTCAACTTAGTGTCCTGTTCTAGTCTAGATACACTTCCAAAGTTATTTGTTGAGAGCTTTCGATGCCTGTACCATTTTTGCTTTATTTAAGTTGTGTGGCCAGGCAAGTGCAAGTACTCTATTCCTATATATCATCGATAAGTGCATTAATTTGTGATTAATCGTCCATTACGAAAGTATAGGTGCATGATTAAACTTCACCTTATTATAGTTCAAAAGATGTGCAAGTGATGCTTTTGCTTTATAAAGTATACTGAATATGTACGTACACTGCTGATTCTACTCCGGAAATTATTTCCCTCAAGATTGACATTTCGACTTCAGAAACAAAACAAACTCCCCCAAAACTCCCAGTTGCTATACTTAATAGACCAGTAATCATGCAGTGCTGTTTTCACTTCAGTCTCTGCAGGCAATAAAAACCATGCAGCCACTAATTCCTATAACAGCGGCCACCCACAGAACGACAGACAATGCGGTAGTGACGTATTATCGAAAACAACAACTGTTGCGTCTTCGTCCCTCATCTATAGAGCAAGAGGTATTGAACCAGTCAGAATTCCCGGCAAACCTTCTAGTGGGACAATAGCCTCATTTCAGCAGAGCATAACACGGTTCGAATAGGTAAGTGGTTCCAATTTCGTTCCCCCAAAACAAGAATGATATGAAACCAGAATGCCTACCGTTTGCGTGTGGATAGATACGATCGTCGGCATAAGTGCACCATCCGTCGTCGGTTATGTGCTGTTTGCCGGCATTTTCCAGCCGCATGCCCTTGATAAAAAAAAAACAAATTCCACCAGGATCATTCAATATAAAACATCGACCAGAACGAAACTCGCATCCGAGACTGTGTGCAATTTTGTCCCACTAAAATCCATGTTTAAATTTTTTAACATTTTTATCACACTTTTCATATACTTTTTTGGTTTCATCATGATTAACCAAGAAAAACACTGCTTCTTCGTGGCGCAATTTATAACAATACCCAACAACCCGCTGCTCTCAATGCAGTTCAGAGAGCCTTCTAGGTTCACACAGGAAATTATCGACTAAACAAAACTATACATCCGTCGAGTTGTTAAAATAACAACTCCACAAAGGATTTTCCTGCAGTTCCCAGGAACCTTTCGTACACGAAACAGCAAACCTTAATTTTGCTCCCCGAGTGATAGGTTTTTTTACACCAAAAGTGGATAAAAAATCTCTTTTATTGAGAAGTGAAAGGATCAAAATCATCCAGCAAGATGGATGACCGCACTATTGATACGATTTTTGCGGGATCGCTGGAAAATTTACCCCCAGTGAGCTCCAAAATTGTACGGATTTTTACCAGCTCGACATTTACAGGTGAGTTATGTAACTGGTATATGACCTACAGTAGGTACATTATATGTGCCTTGAAAACAAACTTTCCGGAAGTTTCGAAAAGTTCAAGACCATTCACTGGTTAGAATCCTATTCGTAGTTGAAAACCGGATGCGCATTTAATAACTGAAAAAGCATATAGCAGGGCTTCTCAATCTATGGGTTACAGTATCGTGCTTAAATGGGTCAGGAAAATAATGTTGAAATGAATGAAAAATTATATGCATTTAAAACAATGTTGTGATTATCAGAATTCTGCTCAAATAACCTATAAACTTTGTGGAGATTGGAACTAGATACCGGAACAGAGACCTTTCCGTCGACTAGAATAAACAAAAAACCGATTAACCTTTCGTTTTCGCGATAAAAAATAATGTATTATTTTCAAACTAATAATAAGTTACTAACATATGTGAGTCAAAAATAATCCCAAATACTTACTTTATGCAGAGTAGTGTTGCAAAAAAAACCCAATTATTCAAATCACATGCTTGAGATTATTCGCCTACGAGTTATGCCTTGCAAAATTCAACTGCGCAATAATCACCGATGAGATTTCCGGTTCAAAAATGAAATGCAAATGGTGTAGTGTTTATTTTGAGCGTGCATGAGCTGAGCAGTTGTATTACTTCTACGTAATGTTAACGATTTACATAGTTGGAGATGCTAAGCATCAAATAACAGACAAAGTGGTAATTTTATATGATAGATGGAGGAGATGAAAGTGTGGAGTTGATAGTTCCGTTTGAGTAAGGCGGTATGAAAATTGTATATAGAGAGTAGTTGCTCGCTTTGAGGAAGGTACGAATCGGGTTGATCATCTCTCTTTACCAAACTTCCCTAGTGCCTCGTACTAACTATTTCAGTGCCAACATTTCAAAGGGGCGTAATTGCATTTGTAAACAATGGCTTTAGTCGTAGATATGTCACGAATAAAAGCTCACTAATGAAAATTAATGAACCAGCAGGTAGATGAATGTTTCCTCGAGTGTTTCCTTTACCAGCTATCATTGTTAATTTGAAGGTGTGGGCTTTTATTTGCGATAAACAAACGGTTAAAGCTATTGTTTACAAAAGCAATTACACCCCTTAGAAATGTTGGCCCTGATTTAACTTTCAAGATCACAGAATTAGATATAAAATCAAGATTAAAGTCCCAAATTTAACTTCAATTCTAATCGAAAGGAATAAACTCCAAATGTTTATGATTGTGTCCCTGTTTGTAACTAGATACTATTTGAAATTCTTTCTACGAACGCTTATTGGGTTATTTTTTTTTTTATTTGAAACGGAGTTAGTTGGTTGAACCCATTCGGTACCAATTTATTATTTACTCGTACTTTATACTTATAAAAGCTTTTTAGTGTTTTTATAATACAGGCATAGATAAACGGAAATTTTATGTAATGTTCTAAACTATCCTGGAGTGCTAATTCTTGACAAATTAGCTAAATCACCATGGTACGGGTTTTCCCTGTAGAAAATATGCAAACATGTTCATAAAATCTAGATTCATCATTCAAGATTCCATCAGATTCGATTATCTGGAATACTTTTGAAAACTTTCTGATCCACCTACAGTCTTCAAAGAATATGTGAGAGACGTCATTTGTACTTTCTAACAGTTGGAGATCTTCAGAACTTGATTAACCTGAAGTCTTTAAAAAATATCCAAGGAACTTTACTAATATCTTCATCTATCTGGAGATCGATTTATGAATATTTCCTGCTGTCTAGGAAAGATGCCTGAAAGAATATCCTGTAACCTATGCAACGTTCCCTAAACATCACCAAAACAAGGATCCCAAGTAACAATTTTGGTTTTATGAGGGTTCTGTAGAATATGATTTAGACTTGTAGAATGCTTTAAAACCTTGATAAAACTTGCAATGTTGCCTGGGATGGATGCTACTCAAATTTCTGCGAGTAAAACACACGGTGTTAGGAGACAGCACATGCATTTCGGAAGAGACGGTAAACTGATTTAATATTTAAGCGCAGCACGCAGTGTCCAAAGTGGTGGATTAACCAGCTTTATTGTCCCTCGGGGGTTTCTTTGCTTTAAGTTAATTTGGGTGCTTACATTCCTTAATCGGGTAATTTTAAAATATTCTATCGAAAAAAAAATTAAAGCATTGTTTTCCTAATATGTGTATGAAAAATTATGATATAACTAAATAATTAAAATTTTCCTCATTAGAATATTTTAAAACCAATCGATTTAGAAATATTGGCACCCACACTAACTTTTGTGATGAAAAAACGAGTTACATGAAAGTTGATTAGTTCCCCACTTCCAATTCAACGGGACCTCAGATAGCTTAGTCATTATAGCTGAAATTGTGTCAAACAACCTTTAATTTAATCGTAATTGCTGATACTGTTCTGTACGCAAAATTCCAAATTCATTTTTTAACCCTCTCTCTTAATCCTACGTAGATCTCTGAACATCTTCGAACTTCTGGAAAGACCCTGGAAAGATGCTTGAACATCTGCAAAGTTCCTTGAAATTTAACGAAATTCTCAAAACTTCCAAGAAGTTTATAGAGCTTTTATGAAGAAACTCTAAAACTGACAAACTGCATTGAAGATCCCTAAACTGAAGCAAGGAACTATTTTTAAATCTTCTACAAAATTCCCTACACTTATATGAAGTTTTCTGCACTTCTACGTTTCGCGTTGATTTTCCGCGAATGTTTCGCATATGAAATGTTTTGAACTTGTACTAAATTTTCTGAATTATTTCAGGCTCACGAGACTTCAGGACACTTAAATTATTTAAAGATCCCCGAATGAGTTTCCTTGAAATAAAATAATGTTTAACATAATTCTTAATAAGAGTTCACACTTCTGAGTTTCTACGAATTTTCCTGAAGCTCTATAAAGTTCCCAGAACTTCTACTAAGTTTCGATAATTTTTAAGATTTTCCCTGAATTTCTTAGAAGTCCTTGAAGTTTTGTGAAGTTCCCTCAGGTTAAAGAAAAATCCCGAACTTTTGGTCAATTTGTAGAGTCTGAAGACGTATTATTATGTTATCGATTAAATATCGTTATAATACTTATTGTTTTTTCTAGTCTAGAACATTAATAAAAGTAGACATTCATAAAAATCAATAAACAAACAATAAAAAGTAACTTCGCATCTGCTAAAACACCCAAAGTTCCTGAGAAGGGGAGGGGGGCTGGAGGAGTCCTACCCCCCCCCCCTAAGAACCCCCATTAGTAACGCAAATGATGCCTTCGTCTTGTTACTATGAAGGCTAATAGTTTTTTTTTTGTTGCGCTAAAATTCTACTAAAATGATAACATCTCATTTTTCCAACTAAAGAATGAAGCAATCGAGTCACTTCAAATTAACCGATGATTTTTGTGGGAAATGAAATTTTTTGATAAATCAGAACTGTTGGAGGGCCCCGAGTTCATATGATTTCTTAAAGTGGTTTGTAACCAACGGAAGTTTGAGAACTACTGGCATGTAGTATAAATAAGGTGGTTGCATTGCGAGCAGGAATTTTTGTATGTTTCAAGTGTCTTATGCACACAAACAAATATCTGGTTTTATATATTATGTTTTCATTAACTAGTCAATCCACCTTTGACCATTCTAGCTATAATATTGCGATTTCAGGGTAAAAGTAGTATTCAATGATAGATTATTAGAAAACCACAGCATTAACACTATACTGCGGCTGTGAATCACTGCATTACAATAATATTCTGGTGATGGGTCTTAGGCAGAATGCCACTACACTAACGCCATTACACCGAATATGTTATGAAGCGTATTACCGTATTACCCCGATACATGTCAAACTGTAACAGCTTCTGTTATACTTCATAAAGAAAACTTTCTATTTTACTCTGTAAGTACATCGAACAGACCTGTGTTTCCTTATAGGAACGTAGAAATAGCTCTAAAACAGTAAATGCCGTAAACACACATCAACAAATGCAGGCCGCCACCAAAGAACTCTGCATCAGTATTTTTTCAAGAATTGATTGTTTAAATAATCTAAAGAGTGGCCGTCCCATCGTCCCTTAACAGATTGACCAAAATAAAATAAAAATTCAAAACTTTCTGTTAAATAAATCTACTTTTCAAACTGTTAATTGAGAATTTTTAGAAAATCTTGAAAAAAGGGGAAAAAGGGGGCAGCGAGAGAGTTAGCGTTACATAATTTAAGGTGGGTTATGTCAAACGTAACTCATTGATACATAAAGAGGGGCCAATATCCAGATTTTTTGCGATTTTTTAATTTGTGTACCGTGCCTGTTATTGTAGTTTGCAGTTTAAACTGAACCATCGCTAATAAAAGTGCACCTTTACGTTGTATCGTCTTGGTATCTTCTGTGCACTTATTTCTTATGAACCAAGGAATAAGTGCTTCGAAGACATCAAAACGAGTTAACGTTAAAGCGTACTTTTATTATCGATTCCACACTTAAAGTCGCACTTATAATGTGTGCAACGCGTAATAATAAGAGATTTTCCGAAAATTTACATCCTTAAAAAACCATTTCTTCCATATGATTCCAGACACAACTATGGAACGAAACAACTTGATGGCTAAGTGCTACCCAAGAATAAAGGATTATTGTCGAGAAAAACATGGATTAGAATTTCAGGTAAAGTATATTGCTTAATTCATTGATACTTACACATGGCAGCATTCAGACTTCCGTAAGTTCTACCGTGAGAAGGATAAAAAAAAACAAACCAAAAAAGGTCTCATATTTAAATCTTTTTTAGTAGGGTAGGTGTACCAGTTATGGTTATACGTTCCTATCATGATGTGTTCCAATTATGGCCTATGGAATTCCCATACGCCATAATTGGAATACACCATAATAGGAACGCATAGCCTTACTGCTACATCAACCCTAGTGTAACAGTTACAAATATGAAGACGCACATAATCATTCTAGAATATACCGTTTGGACTCCATATTATAACGTCCATGTCCAACGAATCAAACGAGTTCAGAAACGCTTCGTCAGGTACGCTTTACGGGGTCTACCTTGGAATTATTCCTTCAACATACCACCTTACGATCAACGGTGTGCACTTATTAGAATGCAAACTTTAGAGCAGACAACCGATTCTCCAGAGGTTGTACATCTTCGACATTTTAACCGGCAACATCGACTGTATACTTCAGAATCAGCAAACCCTGTGGATTCTTAGTCACCGAACCAACTACGGCCAACATAATCCATAAGACGCGTGCTGCAGAGACTTCAATGAAGTCTTCCATGTATTTGATTTCATCATTCAGCCATTCCATAGCAAATGTGATGTAGTGGTTCTCGGAATTGCGTAAAAGTTGGTAGTTTTGTTTCTTATCGCAAAATATTAGCCCCGTATTTTTTTTGTCATTAGGGTTAGAGTGTTATGTTATGTTAATGTTAGAGTGATAAAAAAAATCGATTTTTGCATTGCTTTCAAAAATTACTTTTCATAACTTTTGTATCAAATATAAAAAAAGGTAATTAAAAATACCCTTTAGGAAAAATATAAAGATATTAAAATATTGTAATTTTGTATTGAAAAACATTGATTGTATTTGTTTGTCTTGGTTTTCATCGTTTGTACACAGAGAACGCAATATGTTTTTATATTTTTCCTTGAAAATTTATTGTCTTTCCTTTTTGAGTTAAATTTTTTGAAGTTATGGGTTTTCGCTCAATACTCCTAAGCAACTAGACATCACGAGAAGGAGGAGTATTGAGCGATATGGTAGTTTGTAAATTTTTTTCGGTATATTTATTTAAAAATATCAGCGGTGTGGTCTTAACCTCAATATACCTGTGTTGGTACCTCAAAACATAAACAATTTTCAAAATGTTGCTTGCAATAGATTGATATCGAGTAAACTAGAAAAAGCGAAGTGCATTTTCAACCGATTCGAGTATAAATATGACATTAAATCTGATTTTGAAAGGTGGCGCACAGCTAAAAAGTGAGGTTACGTGACACCACTGAAAAATATAGATTTATCTACAGATAAATGACATACAAACAATCAAACGTATTGTGTATTTTCCCTGTAAGACATCCGTCACTTAAACATTACCGCCATCTGGTGAGTACACTGTTATGGACAGTACGTTCTACAGATGGCGGTAGTGAGTAAACACCAAATGCAAGGGAATTGACTATGCGCGCTACAGATGGCGGCACTACCATGTAATAAAAATGTTAAATGCGTGTTCGATGGAAAACATGCTTGAGTTCTATTTGTTTGTCTGTGGTTAAATGTTTTAGCACACTTTTATTTTTACTAATGAAGTTTGCAAGAAGTAGCTGCTCCTTGATGTTTCTATTTCCTCACCGTGTTTGACTACCCCGAAATCGAGAAACAGCTAATGGCACATTTCGGGAATTCCTGTAAATCGGGAAATACTTTAGTCTTTTATGTCACCAAACAAGTCCATGCTTGACTGAATGAATTATGATTGTTACTATAATACTATGACATCTTTATTTGGAAGTTTTTTCAGCTTCCTTCAGAAGATAATTCAAACAACCTCGGAAAAAATTTCCGACTCTCCTGGAAAGGTCGGTCTTAAATAGGGGTATTACTCTAAGATTTTCCAAGCTAAACAAAACAGTCAAAGCCACTCTAATACGAAATATTCCTTTACAAAGTGTATATGTACATCCTTCACAAGCATCCTCAAGCTTTTGCAAGATCTTGCAAAGACTTGTGAGCGATTGTAAGGGATGTGATTGCGTAGAAAATGGATATTTCGTCTTGGATTGGTGAGGATTAGATTTTTTAGCTTCGAAAATCTTAGAATCACACCCCTAGCATCTTCGTCCAAACGTTTAAATTTTCGCCTTCGAAAAAGGCAAAAATATGATATTGATACCGATAAACTTGAAAACAATCTGGCAACGCTGGTTCAACCTAAATAATAAAAAAAAATCACTGTGAGTGTGCTTTGAACACTTGTTAATTAGTAGATTGTTAATGCATAGATTTTAAGCATGTATTTTTACATCCATATGTTGTGTAGCAACGTTAATTTATGCACAGGGAAGACAATACATTTCTGCATAGGAAAAATGTCTAGACTGGACCAGGAACCGAACCCACTGCATTCAATATGGTCTAACTCTAATGTGCAGTAATGTTGGCAGTAAATACCTATAACAGCGCACGACCCATCAGATAAGTTAAATATGTCGCGTGTCAAGATTGCTATATTTATTTCATTTCGTGTCTCCGTGGCAATCAAAAGTGCATAACACTATCAACCCAGCTTGAATGAAGACTAATCTAGGGTAGTTTGCTAATTGTTGCACACCACCCTATTGCTGCACACTTCACATTTTTCAATATTCAACATTTATCATCAGTGATCAATTGTTGATTGAAACCAAATATGTTTTTGTTACTCAGTATTAGAAATATTTTGATAAAACATGTTTTAGAAATTGTTGACATCGTTCATATAATTTCAGGAGATTTTTCCATTTTTTTTCTGCTATTAATCCTCAGATGTAAAATAAGCTATTACTGGTTCAAAATTCAACTAAATTTAGTAATATTTGAAGGAAAATGTTGGTTCTTCTTTCATATAACGATCAATGGCAATACATCTACCAGCCACGTGAAATTTATAGAAAAATAATAAATGTTCAACAATTGGATCACTTTTGGACTCTTGGTCCTAGATAATTGTCACATAGGATAACACCTAAAGGTATGCAACGTGTCATATAAAACAGCTGCTGCATATATTTTCCTTCTAATGTTGACCGATTAAAAATGCATTTAGCCATAGTTTAAGGGTCAGTAATGCCGGTGCCGGTTGTGTAGTGGTAAGCGTGACTACTTTCTCACCCCAATGGGTCTGGGTTCAATCCCAGCCGAGGTCGGTGGGATTTTTCTGAGGCATAAAAATCTCTGGTCACGTCTTCCTTCGGAAGGGAACTAGAGCCGTTGGTCCCGTCCCATGTTTGTTTGAATGGGTGCGATATCCTACGCAGGTGTGGAAGCTGCCTTCCTGCACATTAGATTACCGTCAATGGATGGCAATCGATGTCCGTCGGTGATTGGCACTAGCTTGCGGAATAGGGACCGACGTTTAATAAAGGAATGAAGAAGAAGAAGGGTATGTAATAATTAGATACAAAGTGTGCAATAATAGGATTTCATAGTAAATGATGCGTGAAACAAAGTGTTATTATATGGAAAGTTTTTACGAATATAAAATGCCGATGAGCTTAGGACATGCTTCATCAATCACATTCACAGTTTTCTTGAGTAATTTCTACTTCAAAAACGTTTTAAAGTTCGTAAAAACTGAATGGCAGGACGACCAATTATCACTGACTTTTATATCTATTGCTAATAATTCACAATGTATAAAAGGTCCAGCCCGTGCGTGATCATATTTTGGTGCTTAGCTGTGCAAGAATTGCAAAATTACCCTATCTTCCATGGCCCAGTGAACCCTTTTTTATTGATTTTCCATTTTCAACACCTGTCTCATTTATTCATGCCGCCGAAACGATTGACGCTGACTCGATTCCATCTTTTATGAATCGTTTTCCTATTGTTTCGCCCATATTGAATCCCTCAAAATATTTTCGTTCCTGCCTCTCTCTCTCGACGGACATATGGTATGCTAAAATCTATGAGATAATAAAAGTCTCCCCCAAGTGGATGGATTATTTTGGGACTATCTTCCCACCAAACATAACTGAACCAGAATGAAATTGTGCCACACTCTGTCTGTTGAAGAGCCGGCAAAACAATAACCAAGACACGCAGAGTCAATTCCCGAACCGGTAGAATTCCTTTTCGTTTCCCCCAGGCATAGTTGTCAAGGAGTAGCGAAATAAACAAAACTATAACGACCATGGCAGGAGACTAATCATAGCACATAATTGCCAATTCAGAGTGCAGGACTAAGTGAGAGAAATACCTTAGCACATTTATCGTATTACCGGCTGGGACTGGCATTTTTTCTTGCTTTCTATCACGTCTGGGTACCCACGTTAATATACAACACTTTCGTGAGACAGTTCGTCACAAATCAAGGGTGTCTAGTGGTAGGAGATGCAATGGTTACCCAATGAACATAGCAGGAAGATAAGAATACCCTTGCATAAAAGGATGATTTTCCTAAAGAATAATTGATTGAATCATACAGATATTTTTTTTAATTTAAACTTTAAAGGTTCTTCATAAATTCACAGCCATAGAGACAGAGTTAAAGGAATGCCAGCCTAATAACCGGACGTCATTATCGCGTTGGCAAAACATTTCTTACGTGACACTGGGCCCAAAACAGTAAAATTAAGGGTCAGGACATGCTGCCTATTGTCAAACTTTGTTGTCGGTATAGAACCTGCCGCTGGCCTGATAGTAGCTGACTATGTACGCCAATGGTGACCATACTACCAACTTAAGAAAATTCCAGTCAACCATTAAATCCGCTAAGGTGTACAGATTGTCAAATTTTATATCTGTTTGTATGTGCTAAATCTGTAATTATGGCTGGGTTACTGAGTAATGCAGTAACCATTTCTGAAGTATGATCCGTTTTTCTCCTTAAAAAATAGAAAAGAGGAATATTTAAAAAAAAAAACAAATTGCCTCTGTAAATTGCACCCTCCCACACTACATGCTTTGTGTTGTCCTAGTGTATTTTGTTGATAAGTTCCTAACTACATCCATGTGTTAAGAATCCGATGGCTGCAAGCAAGCAATGCGACACGAGAAAAGTTTATGCTTTTTTTACAGTTGTCGCAATTACCGACAAGGTTGGAAAAAGGGGAAGTTTTCCGGTTAACTTTTCATGTCTCGATGTATATACCTAGGGCAATTAGCTTGATTGATTCCAGTCCATAAATCGTAATCATTGGTACTTGGTCGTACAAACAGAAAAAGTTCCTGATGACCTCAGCTGGTGTGTTTGTTGGTAAATTGTTGGAGAAAAGAGTACTTCAATGAATCCACCATACAATAAAATATGCCTTTTTGTATCAATCGTTCGTTTAACCTTCTTATCTGAATTCTGATGAATGTGGGCGTCTTAGTGGAATACCTGTATACCTGTATCTCTTCTTATCTGTTTATCTTCTTCCTAACTTCCACAGACAAACAGACATTTCACATTGAGCACAGCCAAAATTTTTTGTCGTAAACCTGCAAAAGTTTGCTGGATTTTGCTGAGCTGGAAATCCAGCAAAAATAAATAATGTTTGCTGAATTCGCAGCTTTGGAAAAATATCACTTTTCTGTAATTTTCAGCGATTTTTATTACTCTTATTTTGAACCATTTATAGAAATAATATCGTACAATAATTATGCTATACAAAGTTATCAATTTGTTAAATAATTAATAATGTTACTATACACATTAATCAAAAACAATTAAATGGATAGCTGATTTATGATTTAAATTTATGAAGGGATAGCAGGATATTTCTGTTTTTAGACTTCGAACAAGTATCTCCTGGATTCAAATGAGGCTATAACGCAACAGGCAGTTATTAGTTATGATGAAATATAAGGACTGTTCAGTTTATAAAACGGACAAAAAAATTCCATAGCTTTTACATTGTATTCGTATTGTTTCTTCGGGACATAAATAGATTAAGTTAAAAACAAAATTGTTCAATGCTTAAATTAATGATAATCAAACGCATAACTTCAAAAATCACAATCAAAGCAAGGTTTAAAAAAATAGTTTTTACCCAATACCCTAAAACCAATATTTTGTTCTTCCATCTTGATGTTTTCTCGCCTAGACAAACAAGGTTTCTTTTTTAATTCCACGGAATCACACATATTCACATACTTACGTAGATAGGTAAACAATCTCGTATTTTATACTTGTCAGATCACTTAATTAGAACACAATGTGATAAAAAGTCTATTGACAGAGTTAATAATCAGAAATGTATATATATTTAGCGTTTCAAATGTGTATATTCAATTACAATTCAATACTTTAACTATTTATGTTTGTATTACTTCTGCGTGAAGTTAACGATTTCACATAGTTGAAGATGCCAAGTTTTAAATAACAGGCAGTGGTCATTTTATAGGATAGATGAGGAGATGAAAGTATAGAGTTTATAGTTCCGTTAGAGTAGGGCAATGTGAAAATTGTATAAAGAGAGTAGAAAGCGAGCAAGGACAACTTTGAGGAAGGTACGAATCGGGTTGATCATCTCTCTTTACCAACCCCCCCTCACCATCCCTATCCAAATCAAATCTAAAGTAGAACACAATTTATACATTCCTATAGGTTGTTGACATGAGATGGGGTGTACGAGATGAAGCTACCGATGATCATATGACTACTGAGCTGTGCATGCGAGAAATCAGAAATTGTCAACGTCTATCGATGGGACCGAATTTTGTAGTTTTCCTCGGTCAAAAGTATGGATACCGTCCAATTCCAACATACATTCTTTCGTCTGAGTTGCAACTTATCAGGTCGGTTCAAGGAAATTATAGTAAAATGGTTGTTAAAAAGAGGTAACAAAAGAATATGCATTTAACTTACAGAGATGATCTTGCTTCCATGGGCATCGATGTCTCGGTATTGGATTTATGGTACAAGAAGGATAGTAACGCTGTACCTCCAATATCTATTCTACAACCAATCTCGTCGATTTTGACCAACTTCAACAATAAGGTAAGCTCAATTTACAATTTGAAACAAAAATCAAACACAGGTTGTTTTTTTTTCAATAGCGTGTTCCAAAGCTACAAGCAGAAGATCAAGCCGTTTGGTGGGATACCATGACGAAGATGCAAAAACTGTTCCGCAAAGGCGCAGCTTCACTTTTTGGGCAGGGAAAGCTGGACAAAGATCAGACGCATAATTATTTCATGTCTGGTAAATTTATTAGACATACACATGTAATCGGTATAAAAACTAACTATTTCCAGTCACTGAGAGAGAAGTTATCAACGGATGTCTGAATGTTAAAAATACTAAAAACCACTGTTTGGCGTATATTCGATACATCAACAACATAAACCTGCAAAATTTGAAGAAAGCATCTCTCTACGTAGACATTCTGAACCGTAGCTTGGACACTGAAGCTTGCAAGCTTCTTGCTGATCTTCGAGATGCGCGCGTCCCGAACCGGATCGAAGTATCTAATCTTCAAAAATATACCATCGAATGGATTGGTCGAGAAGGACTGGATGTTGAAACTCACGAGGAGTATCTCAATCATTTCATTACGCATTTCTACAAAAATATTACTAAACTTGTAGATCGTGCCATGCGCAAGGAGGACTCAAGTGCTCAGGGTCAAATTGTTACAGAGATTCTGCAGCATTTGCATGCCAGCAACAACTCGGTTAAGGTATTCTATGGGCGTGAGGAACAACTGAAACGGATAAAAAATTACATGTTAGGAACATGTGAAAAACCGCTAGTCTTGTACGGAGAAGGCGGCTGCGGAAAGACATCACTGTTGGCCAAAAGTGCTGCCTTGACATTTACCGAGTGGTTTGCCAAAGTTCGACCGATAAGCATCATACGTTTCCTAGGAACAACTCCGGATTCTAGTGCCCTGACGCCTACTTTGATTTCAATCTGCCAACAGGCTCGTAATCTCATACAAAAAGTTTTCTCATCATGCTACAGTTTGTTTATTCTTGCAGATATCCTATAACTTTATGCTTCCTTTCGATCAAATACCGGACGATTTGGTACCGTTAACTGCACATTTCAAACAACTTCTGACTTATGCAAGTGAGCAACAGCCTTTGTTGCTTTTCCTCGACTCTGTTGATCAGCTAACAGGAACTCAGGATTCAAGTAAAGTGTCCTGGTTACCTACTCGCCTACCATCGCTTTGCAGGGTAAGATCCTAATCAAGTCTGCAATTTTTACTAAGTAATACTATTTTTCCAAACAAGATCATTGTTACTTGCGCTGCTGAGGAGTCCAACCCTGTGGTATCTCAGGAATATCATTTGCTGCGTCGAATGATCGACATTGAGGAAAACTTCATCGAAGTCACAGCATTGGGCGAGGACCTTGCAATGAACGTGATTAAAATGTGGATGGCAACTGCGTGTCGGGATCTCTCCAATTATCAGTGGCGCTTAGTAGCAAACGCGATTGGCAAATGCTCTCTTCCAATTTTCGTCAAACTTGTGTTTGCCGAAATTTGTCGCTGGAGAAGCTACACTCGGCCACAGGATACCCATCTTGCTTCGACTGTCATGGATAGTATTATGATGCTTTTTGAACGTATTGAAAAGCAGCACGGACGAATCCTAGTATTCCACGCTCTGGCTTATATCACTGCGGCAAAGTCAGGCCTTTCGGAAAGTGAGCTGGAAGACTTGATATCACTAGACGATCGCGTACTCGATGATGTCTATCAGTACCATTTGCCGCCAGTTCGGCGTATTCCTCCTTTACTGTGGACGCGAATTCGCAATGACCTGCCCAACTATCTCAGTGAACGTGAAGCAGATGGAGTTAACGTAATGAATTGGTACCACAGACAGTTCAGAGACACCGCTAAGGAACGATACTTTAAGAACATGAATATGGCAATCTATTTTCATTCAATGATCGCCGATTATTATCTTGGAATCTGGGGTGGTAAGCCGAAACCATTCAAATACACGGAAATTCAACGTCATCGCTTCGGTCTGACGGACAAAGAAGGTATCGCTGATAGGAAGGTTCCAATTCAACCCTTGGTTTTCACCAATAAAGAAGGAAAAGTCACTCGATACAATCTGAGAAAGGTAAGTAGACACAGAAACCTTTCTCTGATATTCTTTGCAAAATAAAAATAAAAATTCTGTCTTTTTAGTTTGGTGAACTTCCCTTCCATTTGGTCCGATCGCGTCGGTTTACCGATTTGTACGAAAACGTACTCTTCAACTATGACTGGTTGCACGCAAAGTTGTCCAGTTGCCCCCTGCAGGCCGTGTTGGCAGATTTCGAAGATGCTTCGGTGAATATTGACGATAAAGATGCCAGACGTGAACTTATGTTGGTTGCCGATGCCCTTCGGCTAGGCGGTGCCATTCTCGGTGTCTATCCAAACATGCTGGCGGCGCAGTTGATCGGTCGTTTGCTGCCGGAAATTGGTGGAAATCCCAACATTAAGATGTTGCTTGAAGCGTGCGATAAATCTGGCCCTAAAGACTCCGCTTTGATACCACTGAACCACTGTCTCCACACACCGGGTGGTCCATTAAAGGTAATCCTCTCGTTAGCGAAATGTGCCTTCATTTTCTCTATTTTTTTCTCTTTTTGTCTTCCTTCTATTTCCTCCTCCCTTTTCCCACACACACACACACTCCAGTACTCACTCGAAGGACACCAGTTTGCGGTTTTTGGGTTCTGTCTCACCAGCGATTATCGCTACATGGTGTCGATTTCAACTCGATTCATCACGTGGGATTTGTCCACTTCCGATCTGACGCGTGATGTCAATCCGGGTGTGGAAGGGATTATGCAGCAGTTGGTGCTTAGTCCCGACAACAAGTGGTGAGTACAATACAATTGTGAATGGATTACAATTATGTACAAATAAAATGCAAGGCAGACCAGAACTAAACAATTTGATAATTAGTAACAGTGATGAACTCATAGAAAAAAGAACAATCGAATTAAAAATAACATAGCTGATAACCTGCTCACTACAAATCAACCAAGGCAATTGACTAGTAAAAATCCCGGTATAGCTGGTATAGCGTTACACTGCAATATTGATCAGAACATTTACAATTTACTGTGATTTTCATATCTCATAACTTCATCGCCTTAACGACTACATTAACATGCTTGATTTTATTACTATTGAATAGTGAATTGCACTGCAGTTTAGTCAGTAATTTAGTCATTCGAAAAGTTACTCCCATACAGGGGAAAAGATGCTGTAATCCAAGGGCAAATTGATCAGCGGATGAAATTGATGCACTTTTAATTGTCACGTATAACAATTTCGGTGATAGATACCAAGAAAAATCTTAACAGAATTTCGTCATGAGACTAAAATTATTGCCTTCATGAGTTTTTCATAATAAAAAATTACATTTTAATGCATAAATTTCAATTTTATTGAGCTGACGTTCATCACCATACAATATTATCATTCAAAGAAACGATCATAGGGATAGGGCTGCAACGATTGATGTCATTGGCCTGCAAGTAGCATGTTTGTTGTCCATTAACGCAAATTATTTAATAAATTACGGTAGAATGTTTCCAAAATCAAGAAATCGAGGGTTTTTCGCAAAAAGTCCTGTGATTGTTAATCAAATTTCCTGCATTTAGGCACAATTGTGCATTTCAAGAAAGCTGTTTTAGCATTTCTGCTGAAAATACTCTTCGCACATGGGTTTAAGCATCGGATTCGGATTGAGGGAACCCAAATTTAATAAATACACTGGTAAGCCATTTGAGGGATTGATCAATTTCACCCCACGTCGATATTTTCCAATGACATTTGTAGTTTAACTCATGGTGAGCAAACAATGTTAGATGTTGCATCATTTTTTACACGTAAATGGGTCCATTATGCCGAAGTGGCGCTACATCCTACTTGAAATCGTGATATTAATTTCCTAATCAAACTTAGAGAAAAGGTTTCGTCCAGTCACTTCAAAATGTTTTTTAAGGATTATGAATTGATAAGATGTCATAATGATGTTTGTTCTTGTATGTTATACGAAGAGGTTGTAAAGTATGTGTTTGACACATAAAACCTATTACTTTCGCTTTTAATTTCGCTTTCAAAGCTCATGAATCATAAAATCGCTGATTTTGGCTGATAGGAACATACACACTAAGATTATTTTACCGAAATCTGTGAAATTTTACCGAAATCTCAACAGCTGAACGTTCGGTAAACAGTTTGGTGATTTTTCTCAGATTTTCTGTGATTTTTCGCAGATATTCGTTGAAAAATTACAGGAAAACTGTGAAAAATCACCGAACTGTTTACCGAACGTTCAGCTGTTGAGATTTTGGTAAAATTTCACAGATTTCGGTAAAATAATCCAAGTGTGTAGGCTTGTCATCCTTTGGCCTCATGGGTTTTCAAAACACGCTCTCTAGCAACGCCATTATCTGCACATTTCCAAACAGCGTGATCGATGCCATCGTAACCGTTTCCACACCGACAGATGTTGCTTTCCACGAAATTTATTCTATGGAGATGTTCATCACGCGAATCACTATCGCGAACTTTGATCAAAAAATCTAAAAATATCTAAATTTCATAGAGGTTCTCAGGATTTTCTTGAAGATATAAGTGCTCGGAAAAAGCTCTTGCATTTTTATTTAATTAATGGAACTTCGTTGATGATCTATAATCAACTTAGCAAAAATGTATGTAGTTCTTGAAATTCCCATGATACAATACCCTTGCTTTCCAGAAATTCATTGAACTGCCCTTTGATTCTTTGAGTAAACACCCTGTAAATAGAAAAGAGAAAAAACGTCAAAAATCTTTATAGATGCAGAACACAATACTTTAATTTTTCGAAAATTAGAACAAATTCAGATCCTACTGTTGCGGGAGTAAAACAAACACTGTTCCGATAGTTGCGGTGACTGAGCAACTTCAAAGCTGCAAATTTATTTCATATTAGGTTAATAAAGTTGTTTTAAGGTTTTACTTTTGAACTTACATTTTCAGTGTTCGCTCATCCGAAAATAAGGTTATGTTTTTCTCTGCCGCACTTCTCTCATCTAGAACCTGTCGTAAAAGCTTATTACATATCGAGTTACACAAGTTCATATGGCAATTCTTACCGTAGGTACTAATGCTAAGTTATTTTGAACTAATTGAATATAAACGGAATGATTTTACTGGGTATTTAGAGCAAAGTTATCAATTCACTTTTTTTCCTTGTATCGCGCACCAGGTGCTTTTTCGTTTTGACAGTTTCTCGCGCTAATCGTTCGAGGGAGTGGACGGTAGCTTCACGTCTGCGTACGCACAGTGGGCACGGCAACATCCCCCCACCCGTGAGCTTCCCCAGTCCCGGAACGGCCATCCTCTTCAGCGGAGATTTGATCCTTTCTCACGTCCAAGAGTGCCAACTTCACGGCTGGCCTTGACATGATTCCTCTCGCTGTTTGAACAGTGGCCCGTCTGACCTGGTTGTCAGCTCCCTTGGTAGTTTCAAGAATTCGTCCCCTCGTCCAGCTATTTCGTACGTTTTCGTCGATTACTATGACTAAGTCGCCAGGTTCCAACGGTTTCACCTTCTCAAACCATTTTGTACGCCTTGTCAGCATAGGAAGGTACTCGCGTACCCACCTTCGCCAGAATCCATCCACAATGTGTTGTGTTAGTTTCCAGCTATCACGAAGTACACCACCATCGCCTACCAGTGCCGTTTCCGGTTGTTTCACTCCGCTTGATCCGTACAGCAAAAAATGGTTCGGAGTCAGTGCTTCGTCATCGGCTTGCTCCAGGGGCAAATATGTTAGTGGCCGTGAGTTCACTACACCTTCCGCCTCCAACAATATTGTCTCCAAAACTTCGTCGCTAGGGTAACGTGGACTATCGGATATTGTTTTCATGGCCGTTTTCACCGATCTCACTAAACGCTCCCATGGTCCACCCATATGCGGAGCTGCTGGGACGTTGAAATGCCATGTGGTGTACGCGTTGGTAAATGTAGAAGCACATTCCTGGCTTATGTCCCGAATCTTCTGTTGCTCTTCGGACAGCTGGCGATTGGCTCCCACAAAGTTGGTGCCGTTATCCGAATACACTTCAAGGGGAGCGTGCCACGAATCGCCGAAAGGCCATGATACAGGATTTTGACGACAGGCTATGCGTTACTTCAAGGTGGACAGCTCTCACCGTTAAACAGGTAAACAGGGCTATCCATCTCTTCACCAAACTTCGACCTACCTTTACCTCCAATGGCCCAAAATAGTCCACACCAACGTATGTGAATGCTCGTACAAATGGTGTGAGCCGAACACTGGGCAGTGGAGCCATCATCGGGGGCTTGGGAACTGCATGGTTGACCTTACATAGCTGGCATCCCCGCGCAACTTTTCGAATCAAGGTACGAAGTCCGGAAATGTAATACTGTTGTCTCATTTCGTTGTGAACTGTCTCATGATTCGCGTGCAAGAAGCGTCGATGGAAGTTGTCGATAAGCAGCGTCGTAACGTGATGTTTCTTGGGTAGAATCACCGGGTACTTGGTGGAGTAAGACGCTTCTGGAGCCGCTGCAATCCTGCTTCCCATCCGAATTATACCATGGTCGTCCAAGAAGGGAGTTAGTTGGTAGAGAGTACTGGATTTGGCGATCGTTCCTTGCTTTACCAGCGATGCTAGCTCATCCGGGTACGCTTCGGCTTGTGCTTGGCGTAGTACTGTGTATTCGGCTTCCTGGATTTCATTACGTTGCAGGACAGAGCCTCGTCCTTCTGCTGGGATCCTTTTCTTCAGTACAGTAACTGCTCGATGTACGTAGGCCATAGCTCTGACCAGACGGTTCCAGTTGGAAAAACGGCATTCGTTTATCAGCTTCTCCATAACATTGTGTTGGTGCAAAAATACGGGACGAAGTTCTTCACTGGTGGTGGTTGGATTCTCCACTTCCACAGGCCATTCGATACCTTCTTTCGTGAGAAACTCAGGGCCCTTAAACCAGCGGCTATCGGGAGCAAAGGTGGGGCCGGAGACCCACTTAGTGGCTTCGTCAGCAACATTCAATCCTGATGGAACGTACCTACATTGATCCAAGCTGCTCAGGGAGAGTATCTCCCCCGCACGGAATCCCACGAATTGGTGATAGCGACGGCTGTCCGAGCGTAACCATGCCAGCACAGTGGTCGAGTCCGACCATAGGAAACGTTTATTGATCGGAAGTGTTAGCGAAGAACAAACTGTTTGCATTAGTCGTGCCCCAATCATGGCTGCCTGTAACTCCAGCCGTGGAATCGAGAGTGGTTTCAGGGGTGCCACCTTTGTCTTCGAAGCCACCAAAGCGCATCTAGTTCCTTCTGCGCAACGCAGTCGGAGGTATGCCACGCAAGCATAGGCTGATTCGCTTGCATCTACAAACACATGTACTTGGAGCTCTCGTAGGGATTCAGACGAAAGATTTCCGAAGTAACATCGAGGCACCTGAACTTCTCCAATGAGTGCCAATAGCTCCGACCAACGGTACCACATATCAAGCAAGTTCTCAGCAATCGGTTCGTCCCAATTGGTTCCGGATCTCCAAATCTCCTGCATCAATATTTTCCCATGGATGGTGTAGTGGGAAATGAATCCAAGTGGATCGAACAACTTCATTACCATTTGGAGCACCTGTCGCTTGGTGGGTATCACGGTTCCGTTGAATAGTTGTTGGATTTGTAGACCAGATGCGTCGAAAGTGAATACGTCCTTGATTGGGTCCCAAATCAATCCAAGTACTCGTTCAGAAGCACCCCCCGAGCATCTAGACAGAAAACCTTAGTTTCACGTACCCACTTGCAAATTGTAGATGTCTCCACCGTACGTAAAC